TCCCGGGGCCGCGCTCTGCGGGGTCAGACCCCAGCGCCCCCCGCCGCTCTCTCCCGCCCCCCGGTGGCGGGCGGAGGACCCGACCGTCTAGGGTTTGCTTTGCAGCCGGCGCCCCCCGGGGCCTGCTGCCCAGGCCCTGCCGCGTGCTGGTGCTGCTGAACCCGCGCGGAGGCAAGGGCAAGGCCCTGCAGCTCTTCCAGAGCCGCGTGCAGCCCCTGCTGGACGAGGCCCAGGTCTCCTACGAGCTGCAGCTCACCGGTGAGGCCCCGCCCCGCCCCAGGGGATGCTGGGTGCACCCGACCCCTCCGGAGCAGGACCCGAGCCCCCCCTCCCGCTCTCCCCCCAGAGCGGCCGAACCACGCGCGGGAGCTGGTGCAGGCGGAGGAGCTGAGCCGCTGGGACGCCCTGGCTGTCATGTCCGGGGACGGCCTGATGCATGAAGTGAGGCCCTGCGCCCGTGGGTCGGTCGGTTGGCTTGTGGTAGGGGTGGATCTGGAAGCTTCTGGAGGCTGAAGCTGCACTCTTATTCTTAACAGGTGGTGAACGGGCTCATGGACCGGCCTGACTGGGAGACCGCCATCCGGAAGCCCCTGTGTACCCTTCCAGGAGGCTCTGGCAACGCCCTGGCGGCTTCTATCAATCACTATGCTGGGTGAGAGTCCTTGGGCCAGAGTGGGCCTCAGTTTCCCCCTCCATGGCCTCGACACTCCTTCCTGGAACCTGGTCCTCCGTTCTGGGGCTCTCTCCCAGCTGGCTGCCTCCATCTGCTCTGTCACTGCCCCACTGGCTCCCTGGGGACCACCACGCATTACTTTGCTTGACTCTGACCCCTCCCCCTCACCCCCTCACCCCCAAAAAAGCAAGAGGATGAGGCATGGCGGCTCCCACCCTGCCGCATCTGACTTTCTCCTCTGCAGCTTCGAGCAGGTGACAAACGAAGATCTCCTGACCAACTGCACGCAGCTGCTGTGCGGCAGGCTTCTGTCCCCCATGAACCTGCTCTCGCTGCACACCGCCTCCGGGCTGCACCTCTACTCCGTGCTCAGCCTGGCATGGGGCTTCGTGGCTGACGTGGACCTGGAGAGTGAGAAGTACCGGCGCCTTGGGGAGTTGCGATTCACCATGGGTACTTTTTTGCGCCTGGCAACCCTTCGCATCTACCAGGGCCAACTGGCTTACCTTCCAGTAGGAAGCGCTGTCTCCGCCTTACCCGCCGCCTCCAAGCAGGCGCAGCAGCAGGGTCCTGGAGACACACACCTTGTTCCCCTGGAGGAGCCGGTGCCCTCCCACTGGACGGTGGTGCCTGAGCAGGACTTTGTGCTGGTGTTGCTGCTGCTGCACAGCCACCTGGGCAGCGAGTTGTTCGCGGCACCCATGGGCCGCTGTGCCGCTGGCGTCATGCACCTGTTCTACGTGCGGGCAGGCGTGTCGAGGACCATGCTGCTGCGTCTCTTCCTGGCCATGCAGAAGGGCAAGCATATGGAGTATAACTGCCCCTACTTGGTACACGTCCCCGTGGTGGCCTTCCGCCTGGAGCCCAAGAATCATAGCGGTGTGTTTACTGTGGACGGGGAGCTGATGGCCAGTGAGCCTGTGCAGGGCCAGGTGCACCCGGACTACTTCTGGATGGTCAGCGGTCGTGGGGATCCCTAGCAGAGCCTTTGTGACTTAGGGGTCCCACCATGCCTATGTCAGACACAGCTAGTCTGAGACTGGGGTCTATCCCCTGCCCTGGGAAAGCAGGGCCTGTCTACAGTTCCTGTGGAGGGTAGGGGGAGGGACCTCCTTGCTGGCTGGGCCAGTTGCCTGTGGAGCCCCCCCCCCCAACTCCCATATCAGATATAAATAAAATTAAATTCTCAGCTTGTTGGTCCTGTCCTGGGGTCTGGGGAGACGTGGGGGGGTCTTATGCCAGCCCGCAGGGGCTATGGAGTTTAATGTTAGTGATGCCCCCTGGAGAGCACAAGGCACACAACCGGCGTGGGCACACAGCACAACCTTCTTTTTGTGCTGATAATCAGATCTCCTGTAGCCTGAAGAGGCCTCCACTTGGCCAACTGCCCAGCCCAGAAGTGAGAGCAAGGCTCTGCACTCCTTCCTGCTTCCGACCTTGGGCCACATAGTGTGGAGATGTTGGGGGAAAACTGCCAAGGAGCAAGAGGTCAGTTTTATAGTGGGCAGAGCCTTCTTTTTCCAAGGAGTCTGGCACCCCATGTGGGCTCATCAGGGCTCTGCCCTGGCCCCGGTCTCAGCAGGAGTGCTGGGCGGGACTGAAGGGCTCCGAGACTGGGAGGTGCAGTTGCCAAACTTGAGCAACCATTTTGGCTTACAGCCTAGAAGACGCACCTGCCACTCCAGGTGCTACGAGGTCAGCTCCCCTGGCACTGGAAGGCGCTGAATGGGCCGCGCAGGCCACTCAGGCCCACAGCTGCCTGGAGGCAGACAGTGCTCTCAACTGGCTCTTGAAGACTGCAAGCCAGGGAGGCCAGTCCCACCAACGTACCAATCCTCACCTCCCAAAGTCCTCCCCTGAGAGCGAACAAAGGCGTTCTGAAGCGCAGGGGGCAGGACGGCGGCCACGAGCCGCCCCTGGCAGTAGTGTCTGTAGGGAGACACTGGCACATGAAGAAGGAGGCAACGGAGCCAGGAGGAGTGGCAGAGGCAGGTTTAATGTGTCACCTTGTCTTGTTAATGAGCCAACCAAAAAAAAAATGCAAGTAAAAAAATGTTTAATCACACAGCACTTTATACAGGTATTGTAAGCAGTAGGCATTCCCATCTCCACATGAGCCACGCACGGGACGCACCAGGTACCCGGATGTTCTCCACACAGACTCTGGGCTCTGAGTGAGTGCTGGCCGGCGTGCGGTGTGGCCGGCGTGCGGTGTGTCCGGCTCGGTCCTTCCCGCGGTTCGGCAGCCTGGGTGTCCTGGCGCAGCACAGGTGTGGAGCCCACTTAAGGCTGACAAGACGCATCATGCTTTGGCTTTTTTTTTTTTTGTCTTTTTTTTCTAATAATAGCATCTTTGCTTTTGAGATTTATTTTTTTTCCAACCTTAAATATTACATACATACACCGGAAATGACACAGCTGCAGTGTGCTGGACAGCACCCTCCCAACCTGGGCTTCACATTATCAAAAGCTTAGAAAACTTGTAAACCTCTGGGCCGGGGGGAGGGGAGTCCTGCTGCTGCCGCTCCCTGCCTGCCTCCCTCCCTCCCCGTGGACTGTGCCTGCTAAGTCTGGAAGCGAGGGCCAGTGCCTTCCGGCCCCCCAGAAACAGCCAAGCCACCCAATGGGGTGAGGCCCTGTGGTTGCTGCTGCCATCCTGGTGACTGAGAGGAGGCTGGTAGGGAGTAGATGTGCGCAGTCCGCACTGCGGGCCTAGGCAGACCTGCCCGGGCTCCTGCCAGCGGACTGGAAAGAGAAAGGCACCTGCAGCCATCTCTTTCCCAGCAGCTTCCTGTCCTCGACTACCTCTCCGGGTGTCACCCTGAACTAGCCTGGTCCCGAGCTCTCTCAGAGAGTAAGTTCAACAGGCCTAAGGGCTATGACGTGTGGAGGAGGTCACTCCCACGGCTAGTAGTGTGGATGCTCGGGGCTGGGAGGACCCCGTGGCGGTGCTGGCAGGAGCACCGGGGTGGGGGTGGGAGGCTACAGTCAAAGTGAAGAGGTTGGGAGGGACCAGGGCATTGCAGGAGCAGCCCACACTTCATGCAAGGCACATCCACTCTCCTGCCCGTGTGCAGGGTCCCTGGGCCCAGCCAGCCAGCCCTGCGCCAGGCCCCAAGCACCCCACCTCTGACCTGAGAAGGGGACAGCAAGGGAGCAGGCGCCGGACATTCGTTGAAGGATCGCTTCCAAACAGAACGCAGCATCTTAGGACACTTCTTGCACTTCAGCATCAAACTCATCTTGGGAGGAGGATCGCAGTAGACAGAGGGGTGGGGACGGGGCGATTCCAGTGGGGGTGGGGAGGTGAGCAGGCAGCGGCCAGCCTCTCCCACAGTGGCGCTCCTGCTGAGAGCCAGTGGCTACTTGTCCTCTGTGCTCTCTGGCATGCCGGCCTCTAGCAGCGCGGCTCGGAACTGCGTCAGGACACCCCGGATGCTCTTGATAAAACCTTTCGAGAGTGGGAACAGGGGGAAGCCGATGTCAGGGTAGCCGCTCTTCTCGGGCAGGAAGCTCCGGTAGCTCTTTCTCCGCTTCTTTGGTTTGACGCTGGGTGGCACCGACGCATCAGGCGCTGTCTCTGAAGTCTGCTCTGTGTGGTCCCTACTAGTTGAGGCCGGGCCCTGGGCGCCACCCTCTGAGTCTGAGCCCTGGGAGGCCTCCCCAGGGGCCAGTCCACCATCCTCGGGGTCTTCACGGCCGGAGTCTGAGAGCTCGGCTGCAGTGGGAGGCTCTGGCGAGCTGCTATCCTTGGGCACCCCATTGGGCAGCGCCTGGGACCTCTCTAGCAGGGTGTGGGTCTCCAGCCAGGACTCAATGCGGTTTATTAGACGCCAACCGCCAGCACTGAAGTGCTGCCGGATCTCCTGCTCGAAGACCTCGGGAGGCCGCCGCACCAGCTGCGTCATGGACTGCACCACGCGGATCAGTGCCATCTCGTTGTAGCAGCGGCTGTTCTCGTAGCCTTCCTGCAGGCCCCGGTCACTGTCGAAGCCGGCTTCGTTGTAGTACGGTTCATTTACCAGGATCAGACCTGTGGGAGGACACCCTTCCTCAGTGGGCGGTAGAAGTCGACCAGAACAGGCCTGCCTCCACCTGCAAGGGGCCAGCAAGCCCACCAGCCCTGCACCTGCCCCATCGCCACCCGCCAGCCCTGCGCCTGCCCCATCGCCACCCGCCAGCCCTGCGCCTGCCCCATCGCCACCCGCCAGCCCTGCGCCTGCCCCATCTCCAC